ACTGTTGGGTTACTGATGGCTGCATTACATTAAAATTCGCGCCCTGCTGTATCACTGCAGGTTGTTGTTGAATCACTGATGGATTTTGCTGCACAAGTATAGGTTGTTGTTGTTGAATCAGCACTGGTTGTTGTTGAATTATTGGTAGCTGTTGAATCACCTGCTGTTGTTGTTGTTCCAGCACCGGTAAAAATTGCTGTTGCTGTTGGATCGGTATTGAACTTATCTGTGGTATCGTTCCGCCAACTTCGTAATTCTGCTGCTGTTGTTGTATACAGCTGGGGGTACAAAGTGGCATACAAATTTCAACGCAATGAGCTGTTATCGGTATTTCCTGATGTCGCAGTATCACTGGGACATTTGGCTGCGATGGTTGTGGTTGTGGAAGCGATGGTTGTGGTTGTGGAAGTGGCTGTAGCTGTGGTGGTTGATACTGCGGCGGATATTGTGGTGCCAAATTTGGTTGCTGACAACTACAAGTTCCTGTGCAAACGCATGACGGAGCGCAACATTCACCCGTCCTCTTGAATCGAATTACAATTTTTGTGCTATTACCCTAAATTCAAAACTGTTGGTTGGAAATAGGTGATAGCGTTTACAAGGCTAAAAACTGATTAACTATGATCAAACAATGTCAAAAGTGAGGAAGAAGGACATTTAAAAAATTGTTCGCATATTATATTTAAGAAAATGACGAGAAATAAATGTTGATTTTTCTACTCCTACCTTTTCGGCAATAACTTTGCAGTAAAATAGGAAGATAAAAAGAATACAGACGGATTTTGCCATCACAAACAATGTATGTATGAGCGAACATGAGACACTATATAAGGGTTTTGTGAAAGCCGGTCTCATCAAGAACGCTTATTTTATCTCGTAATTTGTATAAGTTTTTTTTTTCAAGTGATCTTTTTTCTTGTTTAAGAACAAGAAAAAAACAGAAACTTTTGTACTCTTCTTAGTGGACAATTGTTTCGTTATACCTTGCCGATGCTATCAATAGCTTGTTGCTTGCATTTAAAAAGTTAGAAATCTGTTTTCTTTACTTTTTTTTTCTTTTATATATCTTAGCAGTTCTACAAATCCTTCGATTTGTATTTGTTGGCGAACCACTATTTTGATTTGCTCTATTCGTTTAATCCAATAAACAAAAACAAAAAGTTGTTGCCTATTCAGTTCAGTAAAATTTACACTGATTTTTTTAAAACAAACAAAATGGTGGTACTAAAAAAAAGATGAGAAAAAAAATTTGCTTATGTCGGTAAATAACTTTTAAAAATGGTCTGTCTTTTTTTTTCTGCTCAGATGTTTAAAAAGCAATCTGTCTGCTCAGAAGTTTAAAAAGAAAAATTTTCATCTCAACTTTTTTTTTTTTGCTTCTTTTCTTATTGGGCGTTGTATCGTGTTTTATTATATTCTTAGTGAAGTTAACCATAAAAAAGTACTGAATAGAACCATATTTGTTGTGGTCAACAGGTTTTGATGTAAAAGGTTTTTTTGGTTTTAGTTGGCAAATATTATAAAAAATGCTTGTTCACTTCTAGAATCTTACCGCTTATGCTTTTGCTTTTGTCGTTACTTCTTTGGGTGTATTTTGAGTTTGTGGTGAAAATCATTTCTTGTTTTTGTGACGCTTAGAAAAATCATTGTCGAGAACTTTTTAACTTGTTTTATTTCTCTTTCAGCTACACTTAATAACGGTAAAAATCTGTTTCAAACTTAAACCTTTTCAAAGTTATGTTATCGCAATAATTTTCCACAATTTTAGCCGCACTTATAATCAAAAATTTTTTTCACTAAAATTTTAAAAAAGAGTTTGAGTAGAGGTAAATGTTTATGAAG